AACCGCTTGTGCCTATAGACAAATATCAGCCCGCGCTTAACTTATCAGTACCAGTAGATACTCAATTTCCCAATTGCAACAAGAGCCATAGCTACTATAACTTTCAAAAAGCCAACTACAGCAGTATACGTCTATTTTTATCGTCTTTTGATTAGTTTTCCACACTTCAGTTATGGGACATTGATTCAGCAGTAAATGTACTTTATGATGCTTTGCACAAGTCTGTAATAGACTTCGTGCCATTATACTACTTTAATGATACTTCCTTTCCGCCTTGGTTCAATAAAAACCTTAAGCAAATTATTTTCTTAAAGAAAAAATCGCATAAAAAATATAAAGCATCTTTAAGTATTAATGATTATGGGGAATTTTCTTTACTTCGTGCCAAGTTTAAGTATGAGTCAAAAAAATCTTATCGTGCCTACACAAAGCATGTTGAAAATGCACTTAAAAATAATCCTAAACACTTTTGGAAATTTATAAAAAATAAACGTTCCGAAAACGCCATTCCTAGAATATTGTCTCTTAATAATAAAACCTCTTTAAATGAGCTTGATTCTGCCAATCTTCTGGCAGAATATTTTTCCTCAATATATAATAATTCGCCTCCGTTTGTTGATACGATATCGGATGCAATAAAAATACCAACTTTTGATCTGCCTAATACCGTTCACTTTAATGTTGATGATATATTTAATTGTCTTTTAGACCTAAGGAGTGACAAGTCTATTGGCCCTGACGGTTTACTAGGTACGTTCTTTTACGAGCTTAGATCAATTTTGTCCTATCCTTTGTGGGTTATTTTTAAACGTTCAGTTTAAACTACAGGAAGGTATTTTTCCTTCTATGTTCAAAATAAGTTCAGTTACACCAGTCCCTAAATCTAACTGTCTATCTCTCGCTTCAAATTACCGACCAATATCCATACAATCACATTTATCAAAAATCTTTGAAAAATTAGTCCTCAATGCAATACAACCATTTGTTAACCAAATACTCATAGATGAACAGCATGGATTTCGACCTGGTCGATCTACCTCCACTTGCAACGTCCTCTTTTGTAATTATGTGTTTAACTCATTCAGTGTGGCTTTCAGGCAGATGTAATTTATACGGACTTTAATAAAGCTTTTGACTCTATTAATCATAAGGCCCTAATTCATGTGCTCAAAGAAACTGGCTTCGGTGAGCCTCTTCTGTCATGGTTCAGTTCTTATTTAAACAATAGGTATCAATGGGTTAGAGTTTTCGGAATAAAATCTAACTTATTCCATACTAAATCAGGTGTACCTCAAGGGGGGCACTTATCTCCTTTACTATTTTCTATATTTGTTAATAGTATACAGCTAACTCTAAAACACTCTCGCGTTCTCTGTTTTGCGGACGATATGAAAATATTTATGCAAATTCAATCTCCTAGTGACTGTATAAGGCTCCAAGCAGATCTTGATAAATTTGTTGACTGGGTAACTAAGTTGGGTTTAACACTTAATCTATCCAAATGCAAAGCTTTTACATTTTTTAGGAATCACTCTCCGATTACTTTCCCATATCGCCTTGGTAGTGAAGAAATCCCTCGTGCATCTAACAATATTATGGACCTTGGATTCAAATTCAGCCACAATCTTGACCCCAGTGCTCACATCCAACATATCTGCTGTAAAGCCTTCAAAATGCTTGGTGTTCTTATTAGATTAACCAG